TGTGTGACTAATATAATGAGATTTGTATTAATTGACAATAAATAATGTGTACACTATTTGTACACTATTTTAGCCTCAATTTTATCAGTTTGTACACTATTGTCTAATACAGAGTTGGTCACACTATCTGTACTATAAATACGAATTGGCATAAATGCATACATTGTTTCATAAGCCACTTAAACCCACACTTCAAAAGTCACACATAACTTAATTAATGTACAGAATATTCTGTTGAAACACAAACAAAAATACATACTTTGGTTCAATTATCAACCGTAATCTAATTAAATGTGACCATGTTTATATAATAAATTATTTAAAATTGTTAGTTATTAAATATCAAATTAAAATTATATAAAAACAATTAAAAAATAAATCAATTAGAAAGATTATTATTATTGCATATTTTATACATAATAAGTTTGTTTACAATACCGAGTATTAAATGTATTAAATATTTGCAACACATACACAGTACGTACATAAAGTGTATTCACCAACATGCAAATGCAACAATTATAATCATCTAGCTTTGTTGGTTGCGAACATAAAATTTTAATTCAAGGGTATTTTGCGATATTTTTAAATTCATCAAAAACTAACAAAAACTCTGTATTTTGTGTTTGTGTCAAAATTTTGTTATCGCCATTGAAAACACTACATATTTGAGCGTAGGTGGGTTGAGGTCACATAATTTTTAAGGTGATCTGTCTCAAAAAATATAGTCACTCAACAGCACATCAATGGTTAACGCATCGCAATTATAACCAAGTTTTTTATTTGTGGAAATATAATAAGTAAATTATACATCATCTATAATTAAAGGTTTGTTTGAATAATAGTCACTCAACAGCACATCAATGGTTAACGCATCGCAATTATAACCAAGTTTTTTATTTGTGGAAATATAATAAGTAAATTATACATCATTTATAATTAAAGGTTTGTTTGAATAATACATCTAATTATATGTTTTATTTGAAATAGTATTTGTATAACAAAATTTTATATGAATTCAAACTACCATAGTGAGTTTTAGTATTGGGATAATTTAGTTTATTAATTTTCTTAAATTAATTGTTAGTAAATAACCACATCAGCAATACAAAAAGGATTATGTACTTTTTGCAAGCTAAAGTAATGTATAAATTAATATTTAAATGATATATTTTATTATTTAATTAATAATGTTTTACTTTATTTAAAAATTTCTGTCTGTTATTCTTTCCAATAAATATTGTCTAAACATTTTTACTAATAATTAATTAAATACTATTCACCTAATGTACAGTTTACTAGTTTTAACAAGTTTTAACTAATATTTTTATTAACTAAACCACATAATTTACATCATCATCTAGATGAACAACCCGTTACTGATGAACAGATACCCGTCCATTGATTACGTGCACATATTCCCGGATTATGCAGATGGCTGGTACTTGAGATCGGCTAAAATGGACCCTAATCATAGTAAAACCGGCACTTACCTTGATTATAAATATCTGCAAACCTGTCTGGAGGGCAAACGGGGCACAGAAATGTCCGAATACATGCTCTTGAAAGCCGTGGAGCGCACAGTACTCCGGGATCGGCCCGAGTACGAGAAAAAGCATAAATGTAAAAAGCATTTGTATCGTAAATATTTATAATGTTTACCGCAGTGTTATGGTAAATTGTATACCAACACATGTATTAATACTGTTCACTGGCAATTTATTTTGATGTAATATGTTGATTAATAAATTATCATGTTATATTTAAATTTATGGTGATGCATAAAAAAATTATTTAATTTAATTAAAAATGAGTTGTGGTATGAATAAATTGTGATCCAAAATTTAATATAAGTTATTTAATTGTGAAAACAATGAAAATATTATATTAAATATTACAGTTTTACTAATATTTTTAATCTCTCTCTCT